AACCAAACCTGTGAGGTCCTCGGGGTCTGCAAGTGCCACTGGAGCCTGGCAAATTCCGGGGCAGAAACAAGGCAGTTACCCCATGCAGGGGGCTCATAGGAGACAGCATTGACTTTCTTTCCCACAGGAATTCTCCATCCGGTCAATCTTCTGGATGACTGGTGAAAATGCCTTAAGTCAGCTGGTTCTGTGAAGCAGGACCCCAGTATCCTGCTAGCTTCTTCCCATTAACTGCCTGCACCTCTCTTTTCAGAAGATCTGCTTTGTTCCCCACTGCCTTCATGTAGCTTTTAGTGCAGACTCTCAGTGACTTGGGAGCCATGCAGAGAACTGACAGAATAAACAAGTACATAACCATGGACCCCAGTGACGAATGAATAGGGTAGAATGCTGGACTCATTTTTCCCTCCTGGGTCCAACAGGGTTAGATCAAATTCATCTTTGCCAAGTGTCACCTATCTTCCTGTAAGAATTCTCCACTGTAAGATCATAGCCTTCTAAGAACTCGCCTTCCACAAATTGATATGCTACAGATGTCTTCCCTACAGAGTTGGATAGGAGGATGACTGTCTTCTTGTAGCAAACCAACAGCATAACAGGAACCTGCTCAATGAGCTTGCAGAATTGAGGACTAAGAGCTCCAAGAAGAGTTCAGGGTGTAAACAGGGAGGCATCTATGGAGGAAAGTCGCTCACCTGGAAGCTGCCACTGGCAAACTAAAGAAAAACCCAAACAAACCTCAGGCCAGAGCTGGTCATATGATCAAAACACAGCAGGACATCCACTAAGCTTTTAATATTTCTACTTTTTAAATCTGAGACAATAACTAATATGAAATTATCATTTTGTTATATATTAGATCTACTTGGGGCAATAGTGTAGTTGAGATTTGGACTTTGCAAGTAGAAAGACCTAGTTCAAATATAGTCTTAGCTAACAAGTTGTGTGACTTGGGCAAATTAATTTGTCCAACCTCTTTCATCTTTAAAATAAAGATAAAATCTCCTAAGATTACATAAGATAAAATGTAAAATGCACAGCATGCCATGAAAGCTCTCAATATGTTAGCGATTATGACTATGATAGGATGCATGCTTACAATGCATTCTTTGGTATCACCTATCTTGGTGAAGCTGAAGACTGAGTACTTGAATTAGTAATATATTGTCTGGACTAAGTCCTATCTTCCCATATTCAATGTTCAACATTTTATTGAAACCATGGGAAGGGCCAGACACTGTTCTAGACACTTACACATCAGCTAATGAAATTGAAATCTTTGCCCTTGTATAACCTAATGTGAGTTCTAGCTAGTTTATAGAGGTCTTTCTCTAAATTACTAACTTCCCTCTCAAGTTTTGCAATTCTTGATGCACATGTTATTCAGTTCTTCACATAGACTATGCTTTCCTTTTTCTCTCCAGGGTTGTCATTTCTGTTGGTTTATTGCTACGGCCTCCAATTAGGGACAGGGGCTCACCGTAATAACAATTTGTATACCTTTGTCAAGTCTTATAAGGATGGTGTTTATAATTCAATCCTATTATTTAAGGTAAAAGAGGGAAAACCATTAGGGTTGACACTTAATTGCTGAGATTTCTATTCTCTGTTCCATTTCATGTCTATTCTCAACACAGCACCAGAAAGCCTCTGATACAGCATTTCAGTTGCTTTCTTGGAGAGATGGCCCATTTCATTTTTGAGAAAATGTCTGCCAAATATCCAGGGTAAAAAACCATTACATCACCTACCATCTGTCATTCGTTCAAGTACAGATAGTGGGAATTTCAAGGAATCTGTGAAGTCAAACTATTTTCATAATAATACTGTGATTTTAGTTGCCTTTTTCACTGTTAACATTTGCACAGATGGTACAAAAGAAACACTGATAAAACTACTAGCACTTAGCATGAACCAGACAGTGGCACAAAACTATTAGTAATCATTGTACTCTGCCACGTTTTCTCAATAAAAATAAAACTAAAAACCCCTCAGTTTCACTTAACAATGTCCTTAATAAAGCAGTAAAAGTCACTAATATTATGAAATCTTAGCCCTTAAAGACACGTTGTGATGAAATTGGAAGGGTCTATAAAGCATTCCTGTTGCCTACAAAGAGTGATGGTTTTCTCAGGGAAAAGCACTTTTTGCTAATTTGAGTTGCAAACCAAACTGCTGCTTTTCTAAGACACACCATTTTTACATGAAAGATTAACAAATTATAAATTTTTTGTCATTTCTGCAGTGTTTGGGATTGAACCCAGGGCCTGAAACATGCTAGGCAACGCTCAGCCCTAGATTACTTTGGATCGGGGTATTTGGTAGACATATTCTTGAAAACGAACCAAATGGGCCTGTCACTTAAGGGAAAAAGACATATTTATTACCAGGAACCAAATTCAAGTTCTCAAGCAGCAAGAATTTATTATTTTTTTTTCTTTTATTATTCATATGTGCATACAAGGCTTGGTTCATTTTTCCCCCCTGCCCCCACCCCCTCCCTTACCACCCACTCCACCCCCTCCCGCTCCCCCCCCTCAATACCCAGCAGAAACTATTTTCCCCTTATCTCTAATTTTGTTGTAGAGACAGTATAAGCATTAATAGGAAGGAACAAGGGGTTTTGCTGGTTGAGATAAGGATAGCTATACAGGGCATTGACTCACATTGATTTCCTGTGCGTGGGTGTTACCTTCTAGGTTAATTCTTTTTGATCTAACCTTTTCTCTAGTACCTGTTCCCCTTTTCCTATTGGCCTCAGTTGCTTTTAAGGTATCTGCTTTAGTTTCTCTGCATTAAGGGCAACAAATGCTAGCTAGTTTTTTAGGTGTCTTACCTATCCTCACCCCTCCCTTGTGTGCTCTCCCTTTTATCATGTGCTCAAAGTCCAATCCCCTTGTTGTGTTTGCCCTTGATCTAATGTCCACATATGAGGGAGAACATACGATTTTTGGTCTTTTGGGCCAGGCTAACCTCACTCAGAATGATGTTCTCCAGTTCCATCCATTTACCAGCGAATGATAACATTTCGTTCTTCTTCATGGCTGCATAGTGTGGTTTTAATTTGCATTTCCTTTATTGCTAGAGATGGTGGGCATTTTTTCATGTGTTTTCTGGCCATTTGAATTTCTTCTTTTGAGAAAGTTCTGTTTAGTTCACATGCCCATTTCTTTATTGGTTCATTAGTTTTGGGAGAATTTAGTTTTTTAAGTTCCCTGTATATTCTGGTTATCAGTCCTTTGTCTGATGTATAATTGGCAAATATTTTCTCCCACTCTGTGGGTGTTCTCTTCAGTTTAGAGACCATTTCTTTTGATGAACAGAAGCTTTTTAGTTTTATGAGGTCCCATTTATCTATGCTATCTCTTAGTTGCTGTGCTGCTGGGGTTTCATTGAGAAAGTTTCAAGCAAGAATTTAAACTTGTAGAAAGCATTGAGACTGACTTCCTAATGCAATGGGTGATTATTAATGAATGTGATTTTTTTATGTGTACAAATGTGTCAACATTTGGAACACCTGCATTACTCAGTGAGCTAATGCTTTCCAAACAATTGATAATGTTCCAAACCATTTCTGGTTCAAAATAGGTGAATGAGTTTTAATGTAACACAACATAAAGTTTATTGGTCTGGTTTGATTCCACATTGTAACTTTAAGAAACCACCACTATTTTGATTTCCTAGAGTATCACCAAAGAATACACACAACTATCTGAAAAGGCTAAATATTCTTCCTGTATTACATATTTATGAAAAGTGGATGGGGGGGGTGCTGAGGATGTAGTTCAGCAGTTAAACATGCACAAGGCCTTGAGTTTATCCTTAGCACCACAAAAAAAAAAACCAGAAATATGGAAGGGGTTGGGGGCGTGGCTCAAGTTGTAGAGAATTTTCCTAGCATGCCAGAACCTGTGGTTCAATCTCCAATATTGGAGAAAATGACAACAAAAAGCCATTCTCTTCACTATGTTACATATTTTGGGAAAGTTATTTTTCATGATTATTTCCATAAATTTTTTTATTATGCAATGTTTTATTTTTTAAAACGAATGACTAAATATTTTTAAATGTCTTAATTTCTACTGTGGTGAATATTAACAGCTAGAGCCCACGTAAACAAAAGACTCTTTGGGGGTCTTCAATAATTTTTAACTCTAATGGAGTCCCAAGACCCAAATGATTGAGAACCGCTTTTCTAAAATGCATTAGGTCATGTCACTGATACCCTCCCTCAGATGTTCTTGTATTGGCCTGCAAGGGTCTACTCTTGGTTTCCTCCTCCGCTTCCTGTTCCTGTGGGCTTTTCCTTGCTCACTCTAACTGTACTTCCTCCGTGCTGTTCCTTTAATAAGCCAAACACACGCTCCCAGTTTTAGGACCATTGCACTGGCAGTTCCCATTACCTGGAAAGCAATTCCTCCAGTTTTCTACATGGCTATTTCTCTCAATTCCTTTAAAAGTCTGTTCAGATGTCATAATTTCAGTTACCTAAGCATCGTATTTAAAATTGTAACCCTACCAACTGTCCCATCTCTCATCATCTTCTAACACTTATTATTTCTACAGTTTATTTGGCCTCCCTATTCCCCAACTAGCGTAATGTAAGTGTCAAAAGCCTAGGGAAATGTCTGCCACATAGAACTCAACAAATTTGCTGAATTATGAATGAATAAAAGAACTCATTTGCCGGCTTGACATTTCTGAAGACACGGCCACAAATTCAGGCAGGGTCGATGACAGCAAATACTTTTGAAATGAGAAAAAGATATTATGACGAAGAAAACCTCAATTCGTGAAGGCAGTGTAGACCCGAAATAAACGCTCGAGGAGGGAGTTGGGATGAAGGAATATTATAGAAGTGTGCATGGTGGATTTAAGGGCCTGAGAGCAGGTGCTGTGCTGCCGCCCCCATCCCCATTTCCTACCCGGGAAACCCTGGTCCCTAGGGCTCTCCCCGAATCCGCCCATCAACACAAGCAGTGCACACCAAGAGATCTGACAATTTCTAAACTTTATGGATAAAGCAACAACGATAATCAGCCAACAACGAGCCTCCAAATGCCGTCTCACACCAGTGCCGTTTGCCCTGGCTCTTGCCAGGTCTAGGACCTCCCATAACCCGCGCCCAGTTCTCAGGGCTCCAGACGGTGTCTCGATGCCAAGTTCCGTAGAGTCCCCATGAAGGCGGGTCAGGCGGGACACCCAAGGCAAAGCACTTCTGAACGCGGAAAGACGAGTACTGAAGGAGAATAGGTCCACACCAGGAAAATTCGCGGGCAATGACGGCAAGCGGGAGGACGGCGGTGGCAAGGAGGCGGTCTCAGTTCTCCTCGGGCTTGTCGGCTGGCGGCCCGCAGGGCTGCAGCATCTTCTCCATCAAGTTGAAGCGGACTCGCGCTTTGCTCTCGTTCTCGGCAATGGCGAAGTAGTTGAGAAGATCAAAGTGGCCCATGTAGGAGCAGTACGAGTCGCGGTGCTGGTTCACCAGCCACTCCCACTTGGTGGTGTCGGCGTGGCCCGTGCCGATGTACTTGGACTGCAGGTGCTCTAGCTGGCTGTGGATGGTGTACCGGTCAGTCATCTCGCCGCTCTTCTTCTTGCTCCCAGATCAGAGGCCACAAGCGAGTAGCCACTCTCAGGTTTCCCGCCGGAGAGACGCCGCTAACACACCACCTCCCGACTTGCACAGTCGCAGAAGAATGGCGTCATTGTGACGAAGCTACGTAGACGCTCAGCCATAGGGTAAAGAGACGGAAGCGGAAGTGCGTTCTGTCACGAAATTGGGGTTGCCTAGAAGACACTGCAACTGTTCCGCCCCCCCTCTGAGAGCGTTGCATGATGGTCCACAAAGTGGTGGGCGGCCCCTTTTAGTTTGAGCGTTGCATGCTGGGAGTTGTGGTCTCCTGAGTTCGCGGACGCAGATTTCCGGGACTCCACGCGTTTTAAAAGCACTTGCCTGCCTAACGCAGGGCGGCGTTGGAGTGGCGGGGAGCCGGGTGGCTTGGGACGGAGAAGGAATGGGAAACCAAGTAGGTCAGGACTACAGGGACTCTTGGTGTAACTGGGTCATTCTGTCGCCAGCCGCCCCGAGTGCTGGTCCCAGTTTTGCCTCTAGGAGTTGTGTAGCGTGCAGTTATTTAAGCTGGTGATGCAGCTATAGGGGCCATTGGGACGCGATCCGGCTCCCAGTCAAGTCCCGCCCCGACTCCCGGTCAAGCCCCGCCCCTTCCTCTCGAGACCCCGCCCTCCCCCGAGGCCCCGCCCACCTGCTCCGCGCGCGCCGGGACCCTGCGTCCCCGGTTTCCTGTGAGTGGGTAAAGAACTTACGGCCAGAGAGAAGGGACTCCGTGGCAGACAGGTCACCGTGTGGGTTCACCTTCTGGATGTGCCGCACCTTCCCCTCCTGCCTTTTGTTTCGTTTTTTGACACCGAGTCTCGCTGTGTAGCCCAGGCTGGCCTCGAACTCGGCCTCTGGCCTGCTGGGATTATAGCGTTACACCACCGTGCCTGGCCTCCTTTTGCCATTCTTGTTTCCAACTTTGTTGTTAAAGAAATGATACTATATGAATAATCGTGAAGCTCATTTCCTAAATAAACTCAGGAGTTAATCGTTCCTAATCCTGTTTTATTTTTTGATTACTGAAAGTTTGTGTACTCATCAACAAAATTAATATTGTCATGCATATGTTAAAGCTTTATATAAATAACGCTTTGTATATATTGTTATAAAAGTTGCTGTCCCTTTCGTATCCATGTTGATAAACGTAACTTTCGTTCACTTTTACTGCTGTGTAGTAAGTCACTGAATCAACGTACCAGTGCAGCCATATCAATACATACACCAATCATGGATGTCCCCCGTATTTTTCTCGTGGGAACAATGCTGTGGGAAGGTGGAGAAAGGGTGGTTGGATTTGACAATGCTGACTGTGAGTGTGAATGGAAATACCACACCTCCACTGATAGGTAGAATTTTTACAGGTTAATAAAAAAAAGTATTCTCGTACGTATTTTTTATGCATGTGAAGAGTTTCTGTGAGGCATACAGAGGATTGCCATCGTTAGGACATAGGGTCGAGCGTCTTCACGCTTCAAGGCGCCCCTCACGGTGAGGCCATCCATTGGGTCTCCAGCAGCAGGATGACAATTCATTTTGCTCCTGGTACTTCTCAGTGTTTGGTATTGTCATATTTTCATATCTGATGGGTGGAATGAAATTTCATTGTGACTTAGTTTTCCATATCCCTCATTACTAGGGAGGCTGGGCATCTCTGTGTTTATTGGCCTATTTTCATTTCTACTTCTGTCAGTTGGATATTTATCCTTTGCTCGTTTCTATTGGCTGTTTGTCTTTTTCTTGCTAATTTTTAGGAGTATCTTTAAATATTCAGAATGCCAGGCTTGCAGTTGTGTGCAAAAAATATCTTTTCCCAGGCTGTTTTTTTCCCCTTTATGTTACTGTTTGTTGTGCAGAAGTTTAAATTTAAAGTAGTAAAATATGTCAGCTTTTTATGGTTTGTGCTTTTTGCATTTGGTTTAAAAAAACGAAACTCAAATCCTTTCTCACCATAGGGACATAAAAAGAGGTTGTGGTTTTTTGTTTTTTTGGTTTTTTTAATATCCTTGAGAGCTTGTTTGGAGGTTCTAGCAGGGGAACACAGCTGCTGGTATACCTTTGACCCAAGAACGAAGAATGGACCTCCTCTATCGGGGATGGTCTCCTCTTCAACCGAGCTTCAGGAGGGACACACATGGAGCGGTGAGGAAGGAAGGGGACACTCACCTAGCCAGCCAGATCAGCTGAGTCAACCCTGCCGATCAATGGGATGACAGATGTCGCAGCCAGATAACTCTCACATCCTTTTTTACCCTTAATAGTTATAGAATTCTGATTTTTTCATATTTAGATCTTTAAAATTTTAGTTTTATTTTGTATTACTTTAGGGATCTAATTTTTTTTTTTTTGGAGACTTTTATTCTTGGCCAAGAATAGAAGTGGGAGGTAAACTCAAATTAACTTCTCTAGAGATCTAATTTTTAATATTTTCCTAAATGGCTATCTAGTTCCCAATGATAACCAATCTGTCATTACATAGTACATCCTTCCCCTGCTCAGTTTCAGTGCTTCTGTGAGATATTCATGAGTGTTTCTGGAACTTCTCTTCTCTCTCTCTCTCTCTCTCTCCCTTTCTCTCTCTCTCTCTCTCTCCTCACTCTCTCTTTTGTCTATACATTTACCAGTAACATAAGATCTTAATTACTATATTCTTAATAAGTCTTACTATTTGATAAGAGTGAAAGCCTATATACTTTTCTTCTTTCATAAATATCTTGATTATTCTTGATACTTTGCTCATCACATGAATTTAGAATTGTCAGTAAAAGCCTCTTGGAAATTGTGATCGCCTAAAGAAAAACCTGAAAATCTAGTATTTCCATATCGTTAAGAATGACTCTGGGTGGGCTTAGTTTTCCTTTCATTGTTTGCCCTTACTATAGATCAGCTTTATCAGTAGCAAGTAGGAGGATGGCTATCAAGTGAAAGGGACATTTTTCAGAGGCTTTTGAGAAGAGCCAGAAACTTTCCCAGAAGCTTCAAAGAATCCATGCCTTGGATTTTGTTAGTCCATGAGACTGAGATTATGTAGGCAAAAATACAAGAGGATGCAGCTATTTATGGGTTCAGTGAGCACCCAGGAGCCATCTTACCAGACTAGTAAGGATGGAGCAGTCAGAGAGGAATTCCTTAAAGAGCTATGATCACAACAAGAGGGTAAGAAGAAGTACAGAGGAAGGAAGAGTTGCTGTAGGGAGTGAAGAAATCACACAGAAGTAAGAGGGTACATTGCACAAAAGCAATGGCCTTCATTCTTAAGTCTCAGCTTCACCCTATCTCCTTTTGGAGGTTTAATAGGTCCTTTCTCTGGTCTCACAGTTCTCATAACTCATGCATGTCTGTGTTTGTCTAATTCTCTCCCCTAGTTCTGGTACCTAACACTGTAGAACATAGTAGATAGTTAATGAATGTCCATTAAAACACCTGTTGAAATTCTTCTAAAGAACGGGGGCCGGGGGTGGGGGGAGGAGAACAATGGAGGGGGTAAATCTAACTAAAATATATTGTAAACACATATGTAAATATCACAGTGTATCCCCTGTACAACTATTACATGCTAATTAAAAAAAAACAAGTTTGAAAAGAAAAATGACTGGGAATATGAGAGCATTTCTCAAATTCCAAACCCTTTAAAGCTAGATGGAGGTACTTTACATGTATTAATTAAGGATCAAAGTGTATTGCATCGCTAAAGCTGCCATAACAAAGTAAAATTTATATCCTCGTAGTACTGGAGACTGAGATGGTGCAGGGTTGGGTTGATTCCAACCCTCTCTCTCTCTCCTTGGCTCCTAGATGGCCATCTTTTCTCTGAGTCATCATGTGACTTTCCTTCTGTGCCTGGCTAAGATGCTAGTTGTATTGAATCAGAGCCCACCATAATACAGTCAACGTTCCGAAATATTGCAAGTTAGAACTGCCACATACAGAATTTAAAGGAGAATTTAACCGTAACAAACCATCACAGTTGCATACAGTGATACGCCATATGTAAGTTGGGTTGGGTTTTTTTCAGCACTGGAAATGGAGCCCAGGGCCTCGTGGGTGCTGGACAAGTGGTCTACCACTCAGTTACACCCTCGGTTCCTACATACTTACATTTGTGAAAAATACATTTCGAACTTGAAAAGGGTTTTGTTGCTGTTGTTAAATTAGACCATTGCAGTGCTTATAAGGAAAATGAAATATGTTACATTAATAAGTATAGCTTAAAAGGTTATAAAGTTTAAATTTTGAGTGGAACTAAACTTTCTTAAAATGTCCTTCAGAAGTGATTGCTAAAATCTGCTAAGCTTATAAATAGATTCAGATTTTTAGTTGAACTTAAAAGCTTGGGAAAAAGTCAGTTTTTTAATTTATACTTTTAATAAGTTGAACATTTAACTTTTAGAATTTAAATAAATCTCTAAATATTCCCCCAAATGGCCTTTCAAGGCATCCAAAACCCTCACATTTAACAAGGTCAGCTTTCAAATTATATGAAAACCTTGCTGTAATTTTAATTGTAGTTACAGTGAATTTGGGGGAAATTTGTCAACTGTATAAATTATCTATCAATGCACAAAGCATATATTTCCATTTACATAAATCTACTTTTTTAAACGTTAAATAAAGCTTTACTTTTCTTCATTCAGTTTTTCCAATCGTCTGTTAGATTTATTCCTGGTGATCTGCCATATGTACTTAAAAATGTTTCATATGAATCTTTGTGGCCTGGTTAGGAATACCACAAGTTCTTATACTTATTGCCGATAAAGAACTTTGGTCTGCAACCAGTGACCTATTGGCAAAACAGCCAGAAGAGCGGTTACAACTTCTTGCTCCAAGATACTACAAATCAACATTGCCCGTTAGCTTGCTTATATGTAACTATCAAATGCTAGCTGACAACCAGGAAGTAAGCGAAAACATGCTAGAAAAGATTTCAACTGGAAAAGAACATGAAGTTTAAAATGTATGAGAGATAGGAAAAAATATTAGACAGAAAATTTTGTTTTGTCTGGCCTTTTATAGTAAAATCTTTCTTGTCCTTCTTGGTCTTTTTTGGCAGTATTTTGAATAGTCAAA